ATTGAGAGCGGAGTGAATTTACGAATGAGCTTCGCCTCATGGCGCGTTGCGCTTAAATGTGCATGCGGCGTCTTCAGCGCCGGCAACAGTGTCGATGCGCGTCCCTTCCAGAAATTTTCCTTTGGCGTGAGAAAACGAAGCTTCTAGAAGTTTCGAAGGCGTCCCTTTTTTGTGAGTGCTGGCAGTAAATAATATTTCAAATCGTAAACTTGCTCGGACTTGCCGAGTTTTGTTTGTAAACATTTTCTCGAGTACCCGCCTCGGTCCGCACGTGCGGATCAGCCTAGGCGCACGTGGTGGCCAGCCTTGCTGCACGCGTGATCAGTCTAGGCGCACATGCGGTACGCCGGACTGCGTAAATGACCTTTCTTTTGTTTGAAATTCATGGGACTGCTTCAATCCCGAACACATATGTTTGTTATTATAAAGAAACTTTATTTTATTTTATAAGTATATAAATTTAACAGAAAAGAATTCTAATTTTTATGAGCAAAATATGTAATAAAAATACAATACAAAAGACTATTTACATGCATTAACATAGTAATTAATTATGTAACCAGTGAGTAATAATAAAGATGATAGTTTTGATCTTTCATTAATTGCCTAACCATAAATTAAAAAAAACGTTAAATTGATGTGTTTTAAAATATTAAAAATTTCAACACAGCAGTTAAGTTATCTTGTAATAGTTTTCGAAAAGCTGTTATTAATCGTAATTACATTTTTGATTCCCTTTTATTTTAATTTTTGTTGTTATTTAATATTTTTTATAATATAATATGAGCATTTTAAAAACATTTGTATAAGCAATTATCCATTTACTGTTCCTTCTTTTACATATGTTTGATTAATTTTCTTTAATGTTATTAAAAATTATTTATTTCATTTTGACTATTATAATGAATTCTCTTTAAAATATTTTTTATTTGATCTAGAAAAAAAATTTGCAGCATGAGCTTGAATGGTATCTTATAGTTACGATACTAAATGAATTTAATTACAGATGGATACTATTCATCATTAAACGTTGTGATTAAGCGAAAATACATACTTGATATAAATTATGATATTTCCAATAAAAATCTATATTAGTATATTAGTAGATCAAAAGTTAAAGGTAATCACGGTTATTACTATTATGTTCACTAATAAATTGTTTGATATCAATGTAAATATGTAAGTAAAATCGGAATTTATACAGTTAAAAAACTTTGCATTTGCAGACAAGGTTCCATACTAAATCCAAAATAGAAGATAGAAATTTTTTTTAGAAAAATATTAGCTACCATTCTCCTATAAAAAATGTAATTGATACGTCAAAAAAATCAAAATCATAAACAGCCTTTTAATGTGCCATTATTTATGAGCTACATTAAAACAATTGTTTGGAATTCTAGTCACCCATTGTGGTCATGAGATCAAGGTGGTTGGATTAGACCATACCGCCATTTTATGTGAAAACGAGGGGGATGAGTGAAAGGTTAATGCATCAATTCAGTATAAGCACAATTAGTTTTCGTGACTTTTATTTAAGGTTATGCTTCACCGTTAATTGTGAGAATTGTTGAGTTCGTCATGATCCTGACAGTTTTGATTCAATGATTTCAATTTTGTCGAAATTGAAATTTTTATGTTAGGTGCTGCAATCTTAAACAACAATGTATTTTTGTTATAGTAAAGATTTTGAAAATTGCATTAGGATTTTATATCCACTCCTAATTATTAGTTAGTTATAGTTAGTTATATCACTAATGTAGAAAATTGAGTGACAAAACACATTTTATGCAATTAAATATTTGGAAACTAAAAAGCTTTGAAAATATAGTTATTTATACTCTGCGTTTTGTTGCATATTATATTTAATAATATCTAATAAGTAAATAAATAAAATCGTTTTAGTTAGAAACAGTCTGTTACGGATTACAGCAGTTTTAAGTGATATACAAAGTGGGAGAGGTAAAGACATCTATGCTCAGTTAGAAACACCTGCGCGCCTATTCATAAATACAATTCTGTGAAATCGGGAAGCTTCATTATGCAGAATATTCGAATATTACATTATAATTCCGCCTAACAAGGCCGACGAACTCCCCAAGACTAGACTCTAGTAACGTCAGTCTAACGATCGGCATGGCAAGAGTGAACCGGTAGTCCCCGGATCCGCAAGCTTGTACTAGAATATTTAAGGAGCTGCGCTTGACGCTCTCGTCCTCTTACTAGTTCAATCAAGCACTCATCACGACAGGCTCGCCATTTTACCTACAATCACCCCACACACGTAAGCTACGCCATTTCGCTCGTTCTTACGATTACTATTACAACGGCCCCTGTCAACTACGTAAGCAGCAACACACCACGAACGGCATTCAACACTATAGGTATAAGAGC